ATGAAAAAACTCCGTATAAATAGTTGTATAACCTTGACAACCACTCTGTATAATTACAAAGCCGCTTTCTTGCTCGGATAAACAACATCATAACGTTCAAGCAAAACAAACATGTTCATACATGTACAATTTAATTAAATTAATCCAGGTACAATAATATGAAACTTACAGAAATTACAAAAACACTCTGTATATTTGTAACGGCGATTTCCTACTCATACAATCGTGGAAGAATTTTTGAGAATTATAATTCCCACTACAATGAAAACGGTAATCTACAATCAAGGAGCGGGAATGGTGGATTTGTTTAAACATGGTGTATTGATATGATGGTTTATACTATGCTACACCGGGTGAAATACACCGGGTAGATCTTTACCATTCATATACACACAAACACACACACACCCACATTGGTGAGTGTAGATCAACGGTAAAAAATCACTCAATGTAACCTTCATCGGGTGTAGCATAGAAATAACCTTGATATGGTTTATACTATGGCTTATAGAAATATATGGAAAATATGCCATTCCTTTGGATCCATCAAGCATAATAAAATTTGATTTCGGCCCATAAATAAAGATGCCGTAATATGCCCCCATCATTTACAACCCTCTACTCTCCATTGAACCAATAAAAAAGGAATCAAATAAGGGAGCATAATAAGAGAAGTTCGATAAACGAGCTCCATAAGAGAAATCCAATATAAATGACGAGGAATCCGACAATGGAAGACCAGAATGGAAGAAATCCAATAATTGAATACCAATATAGAACTTCGATAAGTGAAGAAATCCGAATCTGAAGACCATAAATAAAATCCAATATTGGAAGTCGGCTCGGTTTAATAGCTCGACCGATCACCTTTGGGAATTTCAACACCATCGTTAAAATATTTTGGGGGGTCGGCTCGGTTTATGATCTCGGCCAATCACCTCTAGCATTTCCACCTTATATACAATATATTTTGTGACCAACTCTGATGAAAGGGGTAAAATTCATTTTGCACTCATGTACTATGCGAAAGGTATAGTTTACCCCCTGAAGTATTGAAAACATAAAACGCCCCCTTATTTATGACGGTCAATGGTCAAACTTTTAACGGTGTTAAATTTGAGCGTGAAATGACTCTTCTACCCTGCATTATGTATAATATAATTCCTAATTTTTTAAAGGTTATTTTTGTGGATTGTTGTCGATTTGTAGAGTACATTTAAATTAGGGTTTTTGTCGATTTAATTGTTTTGTTTTAGGGGTTTTCAATTTTTTTTTTGGAGGGTTTGCCACTATAATATGAAAACTTGGTTTTTAAGTTGTAATTCTTTCATAAGGTTTTATTTAAATTTTACGGCTTCTTTTAGATTTCAGGTTTTCAGGGTTTTTTTTTTCTTTTTTTGGGTTTTGCATTCATGATCTGCAAAGTTTCATTCTTATTGTTTCGACTATTTAATATTTTTTCATAAACAAAAGAGAAATAACTGAAAAGAGTAAGAAAAATGACTGAATAAAGTGAACAAAAAAATGTTGAAAAGAGCGAAAAATCTGGTGAAGAGTGGACAAAACTAAGTAACTTATATATAGAAATTTTTTGAGCTATTTTCGTCAAAAAAAAAACCAACAAGAGCCGGTCAAAAGGTTTGACTAACGGAATTAGGAAAAAAAACTAACGGCAGGGAGGTGTTTGATGTTTTCTATGCATCAGGGGCTAAATGATAGATTTTTCATAGTAAGGGGTGCAAAATGAATTTTACCAAAAAATTCTAATTGACTAAAAGAAAGAAGACATCAGAAATTTTAGAATTTTCAAAATCTTGTTGCATTTATAATTAAAAAGAAAAAAAAATTTGTTGAGAAAATATAGCTTGAATATTTATTAAACCTTAACTATGTAAATCTAATGTATAGAATGTAAAATTTATGGAGATTCCTTAAGAACTGCAAAACCACTTCACAAACTTAATAAAAAAAATATTACGCCAATTTAAAAAAATAGGAAAAAAAAAAAACTATTGCGCCAATTTAAAAAAAAAGGAAAAAAGAAAAACAAGAACGAAAATCTTCTTGGTGTAATTGTCACTATTCAAATTCTAGTATCTTATCTCCATTTCAATGCAAACCGAATACTAATAGATTCTCTTTGATTTTCGTTTAGCCATCTGGATAAACTCATGGGATCCCAATGCCATGGATCATTTGGATTATATTCGCGATAGTCTCGCAATTTCTTCAAACTCATTGCTCGATTGTTGTCATTGTACTCTGGCAATTCAGACAGAGTTGTTGGACGCCATTCTTTTTTATTATAGTCAGAAATCTCCATTCTCACTTCCTCCAAATCTCGAAACCAAAACCGATCTTCCTTTGTAATTTTTCTCTCGGTTAGAATCTTCCACAGACGCTCGATCCTTTTCATCTCCCCTTTGTCGCCGCAGAGGAAGTCTTCGATGTTTCTTGGACGACAAATACTAAACACACCATTTAAAATAGATGAAATCAAAGATAAAGGGAGCCAATTGAACTTGAATTTCTCCACCACAACTGACGCATGTTTATTGCCACCATTAATGTCTTGTACCATATTAATGTTTTCTCGAATTCCGTCCCTATCAGCATTCAAAGAATAACGATCAAAATGCAGAGAAATCTTTGATTGGCTTATTGACTTGAGCAGTTCATGAAGCTTGATGAACCACGAAGAAGCATCGTGCGAAAGCTCACATGTTAGATGAATATCCGAAATCCATTCGGTGGAAGTAACAGTTGCAAAAGAGATGGATGGGATAAAGTCTCCATCATATTGATACGATATATCTTTAATATATCGTATATTTATTCGTTAGTTATTATTTTATTATTTAATATATATTATTTAAGTATTATTTTAATTAGTAGTTTATTGATAATTAGATTAGATTAGTATATTTAGATTAATATATGGCGTGAGTTAGGGTTAGGAGAATTATTAAGTATTTTATTAGTATAGGTAATTATGTTTCCTAGTTAGATTAGGATTATAGGGTTTTATTATCTTTAAATAGTCGTTTTGTGCTAGGGTTTTGAGAATAAAGAGAAATAATAAACAAGAGTTTTCTTACGTTCAGTAAAGAAATCTTATGATACACAAGAGATCGCATCAATTGGTATCAGAGCGAAGTTGCGATTAACACCAACGCTTCGTTAGCAAGGCAGCGATTATATCAAAGCTAAGCTGGAGCAAAGTTGAGATCACATCAAAACTTTGTGAAAATTATGATGTCAGAAACAAGACGGTTGGAGCGATTGGAGAAATCCGTAGAGAAATTACGGATTAATTTTCAGAAATTGCTCGAACAAAGTCAAGGACGACGTCAACGCCATCATCAAAGCCGAAGGGACCGCCGCCAAACACCCCCAACGCCACCGCCGCTGCCGCTGCCAAGCCTATTGCCGGAGGAAGAGGAAGATGACGATGATAACTTTTTCGAAGAGCCACCGCCACTGCCGCTGCCGAGCCTATCGCCGGAGGAAGAGGAAGAGGACGACGATGACTTTTTCGAAGAGCCCCAAGTTTTTCTGAGTTCGTCGAAAGAAGAAGAATCGAATTCAGAGATAAAGTGGGATGAAGACGCGAAATTAACGAAGGAAGAGAGCGAAGAACTACAGTGGATATTAGAAGGATCCCATGATATTCAGAAGGAAGTAGACGAACAAGATCTGGTGATTGTAAATGAGACGGAATCCATAAGGACGACTAAGAAAGATGAAAGCATGATATTGATTGTGATGAAGATGAAATTTGAAAAGGCAATTGAGAAGATTGATTTATCGGGAGAGAGATTGGGAAGATTGAGATTTTTTGCAAAAGTAGCCTTTGGAATTTCGTTGGATCAGCATGAACAATGTGTTGATAAGCTTGGTCGTTCATCGTGTTTTTCGGAGTCAGAGTTAATCGGGAAGCAAGTCGATGAAGTCAAACATAGGTGGAAACGCAAAGGAGAGGGACCAAATTGACTCGAACCTTGAGGACAAGGTTCATTTCAAGAGGGGTGGTTTGATACGATATATCTTTAATATATCGTATATTTATTCGTTAGTTATTATTTTATTATTTAATATATATTATTTAAGTATTATTTTAATTAGTAGTTTATTGATAATTAGATTAGATTAGTATATTTAGATTAATATATGGCGTGAGTTAGGGTTAGGAGAATTATTAAGTATTTTATTAGTATAGGTAATTATGTTTCCTAGTTAGATTAGGATTATAGGGTTTTATTATCTTTAAATAGTCGTTTTGTGCTAGGGTTTTGAGAATAAAGAGAAATAATAAACAAGAGTTTTCTTACGTTCAGTAAAGAAATCTTATGATACACAAGAGATCGCATCACATATCCAAAATAGATTATGTTTGGGGCATCAATAAATAGCTTGATTCCTTTCAGTCCGTCACAATTCGCAAGATACAAGAACTTGAGGCTTGGGAATTTACACGACGACAAGTGTTCCAATGAAGATTTAACACCGCACAAACTTAAATACTTGAGATTGCGAAAAAAATCCGGTCCTTTGTGGAACCAAACATTGCCTTCACTGATATAGATGGTTTCAGGAGATGGGGTGTGGATTTCGATCGTACAAAGTTCCTTCTCAAAAGAGGCCGGACGATATACATCGTCTGAAAAAGAAAAGTACTTGAGATTGTAAAGATTCTTGACGATAATTTTTCTTAACACTGAAGATACTTTGATATCCAAAGTTTCAATCAAAGGACAACATGAGATTATCTTCTCGAAAATCCCCTCCTCAATCGAGACTCGTTGGAGACTAAGTGATGTTAGATTCTTGAAAAGTACCATCCTTTCAATAGCCTCTCGGTGCAACACGAATCCTGCCAAATGCAAATCTTGAAGTGATTCGGCTCCAAAGACTACAGACGGCAGTTCTTCTACTATACTACGTTTCGGAAGATTACAAAGACAAAACTTCTTAACGCACATGCTAGTGAGTATTCGAACCCATTCTTCAACAAGAGAAACAGATGCACAGTCGAAACTGAATACCGACATACAAACATGAAATTCATCCACACACAGTCTTTGATCACAATACAGTTGTAAAGCGGTGTCACAACGGAGAGAAATTGATGCATGTTTCCTTTAAAAGTGGCGTCGGAAAAGTTGAGATTAGGGCGAGTGCACCAAATATTACGCCATGATTTGGACAACACAGAGGTTCGGACAGCATCTTCTTGGGACAGCCAATAAAGTATTCGCTGCAAGATATCTTGTGGTAACTCTGATATCTTGTCTATGGAGTTTGAGCCCTCTTCCCTTTTTTCCCTTTTCATTGTTACGGAATACTCCAACGATTTTGATGCAAGAGTCGACGATTGATAAACCCTAATGAATTAATTGTCAGCTTCATAAATCACACAAAGACCCTTTGTTATAGAGAGGCGTGGAAGATTACCCTGTTTCTATAAGATTTGCTTATAAACTTATTCCACAATAGGTGGATTGCACTAATTTTCTTTTACTGCAGACGTATTTTCCTTCTTTAAGGATTCTTATGTATATATCTGAGAAGATCCTATTCCCACCTTCTACGTGTATATATATGGGGAACTTCTAAAGTAATAAAAGTTAATAATTATTATTTAAGGCAAATGGCAAAAAGGGACATGACAGGGGACTTAAAAGCACATTGGTCGACTGAAAAAACAGTCTTTTAAATAAACTCATCCTATGTCCTTAGTCTAAAATATCCTCCATAATATAATTCTTATCAATTTCATACATTATGCTCTAACTTCCTTAATATTACACATTGACCCCGAATTTAAACAAACATATCACATTAACCCCCATTTAATAATTTTTTGAATTTTTTTTTTAGAAAATAATTTTTTTTTGAATTTTTTTTCGGCCTGATTCCGGCGTTGACCACCGGAGACGACTTTTTTTTAGAAACTTTTTTTTTCTGAATTTTTTTTCCGGCCAGTCAACCCTCGTTGAGTTTTTTTTTAATTATTTTTTTTCTTAGAAAAAAATATTTTAATTAATATTACTGTAGCTTGTTTGTTAAATTACTGTCTCAGACAGTAATATTACTGTTTGGGACATTAATATTATGAATATTATTTTCCCGAACAGTAATATAACTAATATTACTATCCCAAACAGTAATATTCTTGCATGAGACAATAATATTACGGTCCGAGACAGTAATATTACAGTCGAAGAGAGCAAAAATGCAGGCCAAGACGATAAAACAATAATATTACTGTCTCAGACAGTTAAATTACTGTTGGAGGCAGTAATTTTGCAGCCAAGACAGTAATATTAATTAAAATAATTTTTTTTTTAAGAAAAAAAATATTCAAGAAAAAAAAATCAATTAACAGTTAAATTACTGTCTCCGACAGATAAATAACTGCTGGAGACAGTAATTTAGCAGCCAAGACAGTTATATTAATTAAAAAAAAAATTAAGAAAACACAAAATAAAAAATAAATAAATAAAAAGTCAACGCCGGAGATCGGCGTTCAACGACGGCTGACCGGTGGTGGCGGGTCAAAATTGGTTAATTGGTGAAATTTAGCTAAATTAGGGTGTAAATCATGAAATTGGAGTTTAATTAGGTTTCAAGGAATTGGGGGTAATTTTGGAATATATGAAAGGGTTTTCCTTATTTGCAAATAAGTTTGAATGGGGTGGAAATATTTGAAAGATAAAAAAGTTGGATGCCCCTTTTTTAATTAAGTGTCATTGTATGGGCCTTTTTGAGATTAAGCCTATTGTTTGGAATTTACTCGTAGATGTCGGTCTCCTATGATACTGAAATAGAATTGTCAAACCGCCTAAATTTTGCAGCCTTTTGCGGATTAACACCTGTAACGGTGTGTGCGGGTCATAAATCCTCAGGTTCTGGAAAAATTCACCCTCATCCCGTCACTAGCGGTTCTTGATTTTAAGAAATCAAACTTGTGGGTTTTGAACAGGTTTAAGATAGACGGGTCTATAGCAGTTTACAATGGGACCCAACTTTCACGAGTCAGAACTTAATGCACATTGATCCACAAAAAAATCAGTCTTTCAAATAAACTCATCCCCATGGATTTAGTCTTAAATACCTTCCATAATATAATTCTTATCAATTTCATCCATTATATTCTAACTTCCTTAATATTACACGTTGACCCCGGATTTAAACATATATATCACATTAACCCCAAAAATCAGCGTTGACTTTTTTATTTTTATTTTTTTTTTCTTAGAAAAAAATATTTTTATTGATATTACTGTCTTGGCTGCTAAATTACTGTCTCAGACAGTAAAATTACTGTTTGGGACAGTAATATTATCAATATTATATTTCCGAACAGTAATATTACTAATATTACTGTCTCAAACAGTAATATTACTAATATTACTGTTCCAAACAGTAATATTACTGTCTGAGACAGTAATTTAGCAGCCAATAATATTAATTAAAATAATTTTATTTAAGAAAAAACAAAATTTCAAAAAAAAAAAGAAGTCAATTAACAGTTAAATAACTGCTGGAGACAGTAATTCAGCAACGAAGACAATAATATTAATTAAAATATTTTTTTTAAGAAATAAAAAAATTCAATTAAAAGTTAAATAACTGCTGGAGACAGTAATTTTCGAAGCACACTGCACCTTTTTTAATTTTAGGCTCTGACTAAATGTAAAAAGACTGAAATATCCTAGAGTTTTTTCAGCAATTAGTACATGATAATTGATTCTAAGAGCAACTCCAATGCTAAACATCAAAATTGGATTACCAAATACTCATTTGATAATTAAGATAATATTTTAATATTCATTTATAGTTTATCTACTCCAACCATGGTCATCAAAATTAATCATCAATTGGAAGTTTTTTAGTAGTTTTATTTGTAATTGCCACGTGTTATTTTGTGATTATGTTTAGGTAGTTATTTTTTTGATAACTCAATTTCCAGGATGTATTTTTACATACAAAGAGGTATAATATCAAAATAGTTACCCATTTTGATACTCCCATTGGAGTAGAAATTTTTTATTTTGGGATACCAAAAAGGTGGTGTATGGGTTTGATAATCCATTTGATACTCCCGCTGGAGTTGCTCTAATTACACCAAATTTTATATCATAATTATCTAATTTTATATAAAATAAAATTATTTGTAATTACAAAAAGTAAAAATTATATAAACAAGAATTAAAATATATTGTAATATTAAAAGTTTTTATATGTGTTGTAATGTTGTATTTTACATTTTATGAACAAGATTAGTCAAAAATAAAAAAATCACGCCTCCTTCCTGCACCACCACAACCTTCTTCTCCAATCTCGAGTGAGGTAGGGTCGCCGCTCGGAGTAGCCTATGATTATTGGCCGATGATGGAAGGAGGAGTGTGCTGCCATGGAGGTGACATCCATGGCAGACGCAACAAAGTTGCAGGGGTTGGGGTAAGGTGTGGCGGAGGAATTAGGCGGTGTCGAGGGAGAGGAATTTGAAGGAGGGGTGGGCGGCGGTGATGCAAGACGGCGACGGTGTCGAAGGAGAGAAATATGAAGGAGTGGGTGGGTGTCGGTGGGGCCAGACGGCAGCGGTGAACTTCGGGGAAGAAGGTGTGAACTTTGGAAATTACAATTTGGTCCTATAAATTTAGGTTATTTATAATTAGATCACTCTGTTTTTTCTTTGTTTATGAAGGGGTATTTATGCCATTTCCTTCCAAAAAATAGCTTCAATAATCGCACAACCGGCGAGTGAGACACACGATTTGCCTCCAGGGGTCTTAATACATTGACTTTGTTAACACAAGGGGGCATGAGTGATTTTTTTTTTTACAGGGGGTATTTGGCAATTAGAGATTACACAAGGGTGGTATTTGCAATTAACCCATATATATACTGGGATTATTTTAGAGCTCGAATTTATCTATCGAAAGCTCGACTTATCTATTATGAACTTGACATATACGAGATTTCTCAAATGAGTTCAATAGTAGTCGAATTTATCTCTTGGAGCACGAATTTATTCTTGCGAGCTAAATTCTCTAATTTCCAGATTTATTGAACTTCATAAAACAAATATTTTATGAACACACGCTTGAAATTTAAAATCTTGATTTCATGGGCTCCGACCTATGAAATATGACGAGCTACGGACTATGATGATGGCCATCGGACAACAACATTTGATGGAGTGGTTGGAGAAATAAAGTTGTATTAGTAGATAACACTTAGGTGTCTTTCAATGGGAATAAAATTCGTCGAACGATCCAATATTTACCCTATATTTTAAATGTTACCACCTGGAACTGTGCCACTTATTAGATTAACCTCTTTCTCGTTTGGTTACCAAGATAAGATTAGTCAACACAAGATAATTTCCCCTATAGAATAATAGACCTGTTATTTATACGATGTTTGTTATTAGATTAAATATAGACCCATAAACTCCAGTTTGAGATCCGACACATGACAAACTAGTCCTCCCCATTTACTCCCCCTACTTTCTAGTGAGCCGAGCATATATACTGTTTCAGTCGAGAGTAATCACAAGTTCGAGCTTAACCATAGTGCCATGGTAGGGCCGCCCTTCATTCATCATTAGTGCAGTTAATTATGTGATCGCTTCAAAACCATGTCCTTCTTGCGTGGACATGGTTATAACAAAGTTATACCATCAATTAGTTAGGGTTAACTATGTAATAACATAAATGAATATAATAAATTAACATAGCTTAATAATGTAGTTAAAATATCAAATGTCTTTTCATGTGCTATATGTATAATAGAGTGAGAGTTTATTTTCTTCTTATTGTATTTTTTTCTACATATTGAAATTTGCACTGTAATTTAATTTGTATAAAACTATATTTGAAGATCTTTCCAATGGTATATTATAAGCATATATATGTAAAAAAATATTTTAAAATAAATACTTTTATTTTAGGGTCTATTTGTTAAAACCCCCTCGCTGAATTTTGACTTCTTGATAAATCCATTTTTTTAATTGATATTTGACATAATTCCAATCAACCCAAAATACCTTATATGCCCCAACTAACTATTCCAATAAATTAAAAAAAACAATATGCTGATAAATGCATATCCCCCTAATTAATAGAACCGAAAAATCCTCCCAAAAATTATGCCCCCAAATCCTGCTCAAAATCCACTCAAATATTATCGTTTGTCCACAGTTTACACCAAGCCCACCCAACAATGGAGATTGTTGTTTTAACGGAAGAAAAAATATTATAGACTAAAAACTCCTTTTTTATTTCTTTAGGAAACCATAGTTATTTGTAATCGTTAGCACGA